GTTCTGCAGTTCCAAGTCATCGCCATGTCAAGTTTGGTTTTTTCGCTGGTTACACCTGGCAGTCTGTGTCGCTTATTCCCGCTGCTGGGACTCGTCTGACAAAATTCCAGGCTGCTGCAGACTTTCATTCACCCTTGTGTCTGCTTAACAACAACTGTTGCAACCATATGGTTTGTGTTTCAGTTCCCCACCGAAGCACGATAGATTTCTTATCAGTAACTCCTACCGACATCCCCTAAGGTTATTGTCTGCTCTTTGTTGCTCTGCCTTGGTTAAAGGAGTGATACTCTAGCTGAAGTTAACAGCGGTGACTTAGCTCTGGAAGGGGCTCGGATCTGGAAACCTTAAAAGACACACACATCCCCAGTGTTAACGTGTTTCAAGGATATTGAGGGAAGCTCTCCAGGCGAGCGTGAGTCAGTTTTTCCACTGCTTATGCGTATGATATTTGCAGATCATACAAAAGGCAGGCTTGTAAGATGGGTGGTGTTGATCAAAGCTTGGATGCAGGCTGGTGTTGAATAATGCCTGGGTGAGAGCTGCTTAAGGACTAAGTAGCTCTGTCCTCTCTTCTGAGCTCCTCTGCCTCTCTGTCCACAGGCCTGCCATTGTTTTGCTCCATGCCTCAGCTTGACAAGGCTCCAGAAGCCAGCCATTGTATTTAATTACAGTCGCCAGCCCTCTCACAGACTCTTATCCCTGTGTCCCAGATTTCCATGGGTGCTCTCATTAAGCGAGTGTACATTCTGTGTGTGTTTGTTTTCGACTGTTGGGTCTTTTTTAAATGGCCGTTAGAGACCCTTTAGCCTGCTTTAAATGTAAGCATAGGTGTGTGTGTGGGTGGGTGGGTGGGTGGGTGGCACATCTGTTTGTCTATGTGTTTCTAATGATGGCAGCTTTAATGTGGATGAATAGTTCTGTGGTCACCCTAATAATGCAGGGCTGTAATCAGTCCACATCAAGAGGCGCAGAAGAGCGCGCAAAACTGTGAATGTTTTTTTTCTTTTCCCTTCTATCCGTAATGAGAAAAGATGCGGTGTTATGTAAGGCCTGCTCTATTTAAGTTTAATTTGTTTGACATGAGTGTGGTGACTACATGGCCCAGTGGCATGGGCAAAGATGGCTCATAATGACACCAATAAAACGGCAATATGCAAACAAAGGGCAGGCCGTCTCCCTGCCCACAATCTGTCGTCCTTGTCATGTTCATTCAGACTGAATCCTTCACGTCCTTCGGACAAAATTACCTGCTATATTTGTAATTTCTTTTCTGGATATGTCCACACATGTTCTCTTGGATGTATTATTCCTGCCCTCTATTCTCTGTTATGTTTATAATTGGATTGAATGCCTGGATTGAAGTGCAAACAGAAGTTTGTGTAATATAGTTAAGTCTAGGGTGGTGCTTTTTCTTTCCATACCACCTGCCGATTTAGTGCAAATATTTTATTTTTTTTTTCATGGTTGAGCTGCAGCTTGAGTTTTCTCATCTGACACATAAATCTTTAAAGATGCGGCGATGAGGACACTGATTCCGCTTTCAAGATTAATTTCAGTGATCATTACACAACACTAACTTGTATAACCAAACAGATGCGTTCCCTTTGTATTACCAAAAAAAATGAATGACGAGATATTTGATAACTGAAGCTTAATTCATGATGAAGCGTAGGAGGGTGAATTCAGTGGCCTCACAGTCAGAGGAAAGAAACTACCCTGATGTCTGGTGGTACATCTTTTTTTTCTTTTTCGATTTTTATTATTTATTTATTTTATTTTTAATTGCTTGCCAGATGGCGCCAGGATGAACCGGCTATGGCAGGGTATTGTAGCGTCTCTTAGTACCCTTTAGGCTCTGCATACACGTTACCTCTTTGATATCAGTGATGATAGATGCTGGTGAGGTTCTGGTCCAGTTAAATCACCTGCTGCTCTGGATAAGATTCCAGTTTGATGCTTTCTGTAATGAGCTCAAGTGAAGTGAAAGATCAATCTAGAGCTGATAACTCTGCTCTTTATGTGTGTACGCATTGAGCAAGAAGCCAGTCGTGTTCTTTATCACGCTTTTTTATACTTTTGAGTCTGAGAGTATGTTTTAAACCACTAAAGTGCCCATGTCTGGCTTATATGAATTGTTATGATCAAGATAAAATGAAAGCTTAATTTGACGCGCATCTTAAAATCTGGCAAATCTTGTAAACTTTGCTGCGCAGTGAGACAGCCTCCACCCCCTCTCTCCATCTACGATGCCTGCAGGCAGTGAATCCATCAGCAGCGGGTATGAGATGGATACAGCTGATTTTGGCATTGATTATCCTTCCCAGGCTTCTGTGTTTGTCAATTAAAATGATCACTTCAGGTCCGAATTTTACCAATAAAATATGATCGAAAGCAGGTTGGAGCTGGACCTTCTTGCTTTGACTTTAGTCCCGTTCTTTGTATCCAAGCACAACTAAACGAGTGATCACACGAGTTCAACTAAATGGGGAATCGTGAGTCAGATTGAAGATTTCTTTTGATTTCAAATAGTCTCTTGGACAGATATACCACCTGCTGATGACTCTGAAGCTTCAGGGAAGAGTAAAGCTGATGTCTGTAGGCAGTTCATCTGTTTTGTATTTTTATCTTTTGCTTTATTACTCAAACAACACAGTTTTCTTCCCTAAAACTAGATTTGTTGTTCCTCCTTTTATCTCCACCCTTCATTATCCAAAAAGATAATTTTCATTCCCCATATCCCCCCTCTGCTCACTCCATAAAACTTTTTTTTTTTTTTTTTGGCTTTTAAAAATAATGAAAACCACTATCTCCCCCCTCTGAGCCACATATTTCCCCCCTTAAATCACATTGACCAATTTACACCAAGAGCTTTAAAGGTCGCCGTCGGTGCGAAAGTGGCATACGACATCTGGGCCTCATAAACGACGCCTCTCGCTATGCTAGGCCTTATTAAGTGTCACCGTTAGCTGATGCAAAGTGAGCTTTATTACTTTGAAGCTTAGCTGTTCCGACACCTGAAACCCGCTCGGACACGCAGTATGTTTTTTTTTCTTTCTTTCTCTCTCTCTCCTGATGGCAGAGATAACAAGCAGGCTTTGGAGGGACTAGATTTTGGTGTAGTGTGATTGTGTCTGTTACCCTTTTCCAGGAAACAGGAACATATAAGGGTGTTAGATTTATTGTGATTGTTCTGAATATAATCTTCTCTTGCACCATCTGCTCTGTTCGCGTAGAGACTGGCAAGTAGACACCTGCACAGAGACAGTATAAAAGGATAGTTGTGTGTGCATGTGGGGGGCGGGCAGGCAGGCATTCTTTTGTTATTTTGCCCACTGTGCAGTGCAGGCACCATGCAAGCGCAGGGTTTGTCTGAAGTGTAGTCACGTGGAGTGTGTTGCTGAGCCAACCCCCTCTGATAATATACTGTACACGGCTTGTTTACACACAAGCACTGAGGTGCTGGTAACTCCTAAGCCTCTTGCCAACGCACACTCTCTCTCTCTCTGTTAAGCTGATGATGCTGGGTGGACCAATGTGGGTTAAAAGGGTGCACACCTGCATGCCATGAACCTGAACCTGCTTTGAGTGCCATAGCATGGGATTCAAAAGCTCCAGTCTGCTCCGTCACTCGTGTGTTTGTGGCTTATTTTCTGGCGTCGTATTGACAAGTAGAACACGCTGCTGGATCACAGGCTTCATTTATAAGTTACAGGGTGAAGGTCTTTGCTGTGAATGTGTGTTGTTATATCTAATGGAAGCGCTGTGTTTTGTAATACACAAAACATTGAGGCCAGTGAAGGGAGGTTACTTCTGTATAATCCTTGGTCGCTTTGTTTACCATGTACATGCACAAATGATATGACAGGATACATGCTGTTTGTATGTGTGTGTCATTCACTCAAACAGAGACTCCGCCGCACACAGTTATGCAATTTATAAAGTGGTGCTTATTCTTTGTGACAAATAAATAAGGGTGCAGAGCGATCGTCTTGCCTCTTCAGTGCGTCTCCCTTTTATAGCCGAACTGGCCCTCGGTCCACGTTTCTGTATTCCTGCCTCAATGAGCTCGGTGTAGTGGTTCATGAATCTATTATCCACCTGCTGCTGGTTCTGTTTAGAGTAGCACATCAAGCTCGCAGCTGATAACCAATGTGGAAGGAGGATTACCTTCGCCACCTGCAGTCCCAAGTCTGTGGAGTTGGAGTACGTCCGACTGCTGGACGAGGCGCCAGTGAAGCAGCTAAATGTTGTGGATAACGGTCACTAAAGCAGCCTGGTCAGCGTGCCGACCAGAGATAGCTGGTCAGAAGTGACTGAACTTTCAAAATAAGAATGAAGGGACTTTTTTTTTTTTTAGAAATGCTACAATAAGACACCAAATGTACTTTGGAATAACTTGATACACCTTACTGCTCTTTGGTTTGTCATTTCACCCTTTACTTAGTAATTAACCTCATGTTTACCTGTGTGATATTAAATAAGCTTGTGTGGGGTAGTGGAGTTTCAAAGACCTGTCTTGGTTGGTGAGAATCAGCTTGTTTCTCTTGACTAGTACAGCATGTACCCTTTATCCTTTTTATATTTTGAAGCACTTAAAAAGAGCACGAAATTTAAAAGGCACAACTCGAGACCGCCTGGAGAAAACCTGCCTTTGAACCCTGCTTGCGATGTAACCCCCTGCTGTAATGTCCAAACAGGCAGAGAAACCACGTATTCAGCTGTAAATAAAAATGTTGTAGAGGGGTGGATTCATTTGTGCTCCCTCTGTGTGTGCAAGAGTGTTTGTTCTTTGAAGGCATCTTTCCTGTGGCTGATCTGAAAACACTTGAAACTGAGAGCGTTCCCCCTTCATGTTGTTTGCACTGGATTGTTTAAGATCTGTGTGAGTGTCTACACGAGATTATGCGTTTATCCCACTCATTGATTATTGCTAGTGTGCCGGAGCTCCATCTGGCAGCGTCCACTAACCTTTTTCTCTTGTTGCTCTTTCCTCTCCACAGCAATAGAGACCCAGAGTACCAGCTCAGAGGAGATAGTGCCAAGCCCGCCCTCGCCTCCCCCTCCACCCCGCGTCTACAAGCCCTGCTTTGTGTGCCAGGACAAGTCCTCAGGGTACCACTATGGTGTCAGCGCCTGTGAGGGTTGCAAGGTGAGACTCCCGGCCTTCCTCTGAATCTGCCAAGCAAGCAAGATATTTGTCAATCTTATTGCTTTCATGTGATTTCCACTGGAAAGAAAAAAGAAAAAACTTTTTATAGCTCATATGATAAAAATGATGAATCACGTCATTTTGAGTATTTCACACCCCCTGTTTTTTTTCTTCTTCTTCTGTTGACTTTAGATGTCTTTGAATGCATGTTGAGAATTATCACTGACATTATCACTGAGCTGTCTAATCAAGAATATGAAAACTCAGGCCTTTACACGTATATGATAAATGTGCCTCTTATCATGAACAAAATGTGAAATTTCTTTCTTCTTGCTGACGTGTCTGCATCGGTTGTCCATTATCAATACAGCCATGTTGCACAGGTGCAGAAGAGGCCTCATAACGCCCATCTGTTCTGTTATCAGTTGATAGCTGCTGTGTGCACGTGTACACGCTCTCCTGTTAGTGTGAGCACACAGACTTCTTTATCTCACGGCTCCCAAGGCAAGGAGCCAGAGTTGTGTAAGCTCGGAGGAGGATAGAGATGAGGAGCAGGGATCTGTGCAATCTAATGTAATGTTACTGCCAGGTGCATACCTTATATCTGCACGGTGTGTGCATTTCACAAACCCAACGTGCTGTTAATATTTTCTGTTTACGCTCTGGTCGTCTTCTAGCTATCAAAAAAAGTGACAGTCTTCACCTTTAAAACATGCTGTATGTTTGGCACAGGCAGGGTGGTGTACTAGTTGTGACCAATGGCTCCTCGGCCAGTGTGTATTTGTTTCCATACGTGCACGGATAGTAGCCTAATGAAAGGAAACGGGTACTGAAAAAAGAAAAGTCCACATTAAAGGACACACACTCAGGCGGGATGTAGAAATGCAGACGCTACCATTCAAAGACTGAGAGGCCTAAGCTGGTTGAGAGCGAGAGAGCAGACTGTGCTCTGGAAGGCATGAAGAAGCAAAAAGAAAAAAGAGGAGAGAGAGAGAAGCTGGGATGGCTGGAGGGGCAGCCGATTAGGGCACAGGGGCCACAACTGAACTCACTGACACCAAAAGTAAAAGATGGTCAGCGCCCCAGAGCACAGGGGGAAGGGGAAAAGTAAGGAAAAGAATGCACAAAGGGAGGAGAGCACAGGAAAGTTGGGAGTGTGATACAAAGTACACCCGGCTTTCCAGCAGGTTAATACTTAGAGTAAATAAATTGGGCCAACAACAATGCTGCTTATTGTGCTTCTCCATCTACTTTCCAAGGAAAATCCTGGTAGTTTGACGATTAACAAGTAGCATTTTTAACTGCTGGTTTAACAAAAGACAGCAGTTTCCAGCCACCACTTTGGTCAAGATGAAATTTAGTTTTTGCATGTCCTTACGTGTGATAAGTAGTAATGGAAATATATGTAAGTATAATGTTGGCAGAGCTGTCAGTCTTTGTTTCATGTTTACAGCAGGAGCTGTTCAGTGTCTGAATGCACGAGAATGGTGATGTTGTAGTTGCTCTTCTTGATATTTTTACTATTCACCGCTTTTGTAATTATCATGTATGAACTCGAGTATCTGAATATGTATTTATTTTACTGTTTTAAGTTTTGGAAGCAAAGGAGGGTCAAAAGTGTCATAACTGTGTGCTGCCATATCCGAATATGTGAAAACATGTATGAATCCATTTAAATACGTGAATGTCTAAAATATATTTGAAATAATTTCATTTAGAATCGGCATGTGCATGACATTTTGTGAGTGGTGTCAGATTATAATAGCAAACAGTTTGAACAACAGGATGATGCTTAGCATTACACCAGCAGTGAACTGCACACATGTTGTTGTCAGGTTTCCCTTCATCTGTTAGTTTTGCACCTTTCCCAGTGTCAGGCGCCAGTTTATTTTCAAGGAGCTGAAAGAGGCTTTGAAAACATCATTTATTGCAAAGATTTCTTTGTTTTCTTGGTACGAAGGAAAGCATGTGCGATCAGTCTAATTTTTATATTAAACGTCAGGAACTGCTGGATTTCATATTTGGTGCATGCCTAGTTTTCACCCCCACAGATGTGCAGATAATGGTGATGCACAGCTACTTAAGTATGCTGTATTTAGTAAGCTTGTTACCTGCAACAGTTAGTTATGGTAAATGGCCTGTATTTATATAGCGCTTTACTAGTCCCTAAGGACCCCAAAGCGCTTTACATATCCAGTCATCCATCCATTCACACACACATTCACACACTGGTGATGGCAAGCTACATTGTTATTTATACATTGTTAGTTATACATTCATCATCTTCAGTTAAGGGCCACAGGGGCTGGAGGCTATCCCAGCTGTCATAAGACAGGTGGCAGGGGTACACCTTGGACGAGTACAGGGAAAACCCGGGCATGTCGAGAGCATGCAAGCTCCAAACCAAAACCAAAAAACACAGTTGATGGGTGTTGTTTTTTTTTCTTCCCAGAACCATCATGCTGGGATTTGATGATGCTAACGACCTCAGTGGCTAAGGGTTATCCTGTGAAACTATCATTAAGAAGGAATGACCAATTCAGGAATATACAATTTGGTTTTTATTTTTAAATTAGCAAGTTGGGATTTCTAGACATTTAATGCGTTTTAGTTGTCTGTGGCACAGAGAGTGGATATCAGGTTTGGTTCAAAGCTGAGTGGGCATTTCCATTTTTCCCCCTCTGATTGTTGGCATGTAATGAGCTCTGACTTTGATCTCAAAAGATGCACTGCAACAATGCGGCTATTCCAAGTCTTAATCTGCTTTTAATGTTTTCACTTAACATGTATCCCCATTGTCTCACAGGCAATAACTAAGCAGGGTTATAAGATACATAATGAGGCTAAATCACACCTCATTCTAGTGTGTGTGTGTGTGTGTGTGTGTGTCTACTGATTTTGAACACACCTTGTGTCACCTCAGGCAGTTTTATCTGCATTAATCTGAGAGGTTTTTGATATAAAAATGGAAAATATAAAGCAGTTTCTTTCACATATTCAGATGGCAGTGTTAAAAAACAACTGTAAAATTCACACTACAACATTCTGAAATGTGGATAGTCTTTTTTTAATAATATTATTATTATTATTATTCCTTAACGAACTGAATCGGTTATTATACACTTCCTTTGGTTGGTTAAAAACTCTAAACGGTGTATTAAGCACATGATGAAGACATCTTTAGTGGTTGGAGTGTTGCTCTTTCTGACTGTAGAGCAGTTGTGTCAGAACCAATATTGCAATCAGCCTTTGAAGGCTTTCATGCACTGGAGATGTAACTGATATTTTAGTCAGTCATGAGATATTCTGCACAAAATAAGTTGTTTCAGATGAAAAGCAGTAACGTACTAGATAGGTTTCACTGTCAGTTTTCGACGGCCTCTCTCCCCCTGCAACACCTCCGTTATATACAAATTCTGCTCTTTCATCTCTTCGCATTCAGGTCATAAAATTTTTATCTAGAAAACCACGAGCAAATTTGGCATGCATGCCTTCTCAGCTGAATAGGTGTGTTACTGTGAATGGTAGATTATTAACCAGATAGAGAATGCATGAATAATGAGCGGCTCTACTCAGTCAATCAGATATATTGAGTAGATACAGGGAGGGAGCCACTGTTAGACTGAGGCAGAGGTGGGGGAGGGAGCAGTTAATTGGGCGCTTCTTTGCATTACCAAACAGGCAGGCAATAAAAACATAAACCTCTGTGCTCCATTCAAATAATTTCATTGCCCTAACAGCACAACAATTCATCAGGTTAGTAACATGTTGTCATAATCGCACTAAAACTCCTAAAACCTCATTAGTTCGACAGCCGCTGTCACCTGCTGGTCCCATCCCTCTTCACAAACCGCTGCCTTCCTCACTCAGTAGCTGCAGTAATAATTTGAAAAGTTCACCATGCCTTCACCGCATCTCTCACTTCAGAGGAGATGACTTGGCATAGCATACTCAATAATTCAACACTACAGGCGTGAGAATATATACGGTGTCTCATCTGAGACTGGGGTAAGTTGAGGGTTAGCAGCGTCTGCTTTACTGCAGCATGCCAAACTACAAAGGCGTTTCCTGGGGGCTGCAGTGAACGGAGGAAGCAGGAGCGAGCTCTGCTGCTTGGAGACAGCTCATTCTCTTGTTTAAGTTCTACCGCTCGCAAACACTTACTAGAATTGCACTTCTCTTTTTTTTTTTTCCCCTGCAGATATTAACACTTAAACATTAAATATGCATGCCCACCCCCTCATGTTTATGTTTTTGTCTTTGAGGCATGCCAGTGCAAAGCAGGCATTCTTTCTTCCTGGTATGCACTGCAGTGCAAGGGAAGTGGCTATTTCCCCAAAAAAAACAACAACAAAAAAAAACCCAACCTCCCCGTGATGAATGTCCCCTATTTGCTGTTTTTCTTTTTGTTAAACAAAGCCTTTATTAGTGTGCGAGCTGTTGCAATAGTTGTTTCGTAATAGGAGCAAGAGCACAGGCCTGCATATACACACGTCCATGACCGCAGTAGGAGGTTGGGAACGCGTTCCTAATCCAGGCGCAGTGTGATATTCGTGTCAGAGAAGATTCCTGTGCTTCCCTGTGAACTCACCAACTCTAGGCACTCCTTACATCCCACTTAGTAAAGCATTTCCTCACACACGTGCACAGAGCGGAACGTGATCGCAAGCACACGAAGCTCTTAACCAGGTAGACAGCAGGGAATTTAGGAGCACATGACACTCGCAATCACAAATGCACTAGGAACCATTCACTCGTCCTTTTCGTGCCTCCCTCCCTTCTCCCTCCTCTTGCCGCCCTCATCTCCACTGAACTCTGCAGGGTGGCTGACAGGCCTGCTGAGGGCTCTTGTCGCCGGGCGGATTAAGCGGTGATACAAAAAGAGGCTTAAGAGCCACAGGAAGCAATGACTCCTAAAAGGAGGAGTTGGAGGGGGTGGTGGTGGTGGTGGCAGGAACAATCGACTGCCCCACGAGCCAGCAGCAACAGCCAATCAGGAGGTGCTGCAAGCGGGCACCTGAGCCTCTGCATTATCTGCAGGCGGTGGTCAATCCTCTGATGACCCTGGGGTCAGGGTCGGGGCACTATTGGATCAAAGAGGAGATGATACTCGCCCAAACAAAGACTGGAGAATTATCCCTCAGCTTCAGCAGCTATAAATAAGCTACAATCCTTGTTCTTTTTCACTTGATTGTTTGCTCAGGTTGCACTGTGAGATAACAGCTCTTTTCCAGGGTGGCGGCTGGGGGTGAGAGGGGGTTGGAAATATCTGAAAGCAGCAGAAAATGCATTGTTTATTTGCTGGAAGCATTGCAATAAAATGCACATTTTATTTGGAAATTGTGTTTTTCACCCCCACCACCCCCCCCCCTTTTTTTTTTTTTTTTTTTTCTCAAGTTAAAAAAAAAAACCTGACATGTTGCAGCACAGATGTGAGGCGCTTACAAAGTCAGGGAAAAAAGGGTTTGGCGAGGTGACCTGAGCACCAAATGGCTTTCTTTTCTAGCCGGAGATGGAGGCCATCATACGTAATCACAAGTATCGCCCACACCTGTAAAGTGCCTTGTTGAAACAGATGACAAACGTGACAAACTGCGCACAGTTCCCCTATCAGGAGCCTGAATGACTCTGTGGCGGGAGGACAGGAGATGTAGAAAGAGGCCGGTGATCCGGGAAGGACAAATTGCGGGCTTAGATCCATCAGCCATCTGTCAGCTAGCAAAGCTAATCCCTCTGCGTGGGATAGGGCTCCCTGGCAGCTCCTCTACCCCACTCCACCCCAGCTCCCTCTCGCCCGCCCCAGCTGGTCCCACCCACAAAACATGACCCACCTCGTCGCATCAATACCGACACTGACCTGTATTACATTTGTCCAGAGACCTGCTTGCTGAGTACTCACTCAATTGGGCTTAATTTGCATTAACCTCTCTTTATCTTTCTGACATGATAGGGATGTTTAAGCAGTGAGGCTGCACGGGTGAACATTGATTTTTATTGCATAGGCATATTAAGGAATATATAGGTTGGGATGCACTACTTTTCAATGCATGTGAGATGGTCTGGGTTCTCTCAGGTTGAACTTTGCACTGCTTTTTACCTTTTCTTTTTTTTTGTATTTAAATTTTTAGGGAGTTAAAAATGATCTTACCACATTCTTGGTGTGCATGTCGTATAAATCGGATCTTTTTTTGCTCGTGCTTGTGCAATCAAAAACTAGTTTGTGGTCCACAGAAATCTCCCATTTCAGCCTACTGACCAAAAATGAGTTCATTATCCTTTTTTCCCCTCATCTCCCATGGGGCTGGATTACATTTTATTTCTTACACAACACTTTTAGCCTATAGTCAGTCTCTCTCTTTCACTCTCTCCCTCTCTCTCTCGCTCTTGCTCTCTCTCTCTCTCTCTAATTATATGCACTTGGCCTGGATCTAGAATTGCTTATTTCTGGCTCTCTAAACTAGGCCATGGTTATGTGACACCCAATAACCCTGTGCCTTTTACCCCAAAAGCCTTTGGACTTGGAAAAACCTCCCGAATCGTTTATTGTTTAGGTTTCTCATTTGAGCTTTCTCCGAGCAGGTGGGCAGCCTCATAAGTTGGTGACAGTTCACTGACCATTATCTCTGTAGTGATTACACACAGATTACGCCACTGCTGGACTTGGCTGTTGTTTGCCTTTTATTTGCAGATGTTTCTAAGTATTCAGCATGGCCTCTTTTTGCTTCTTATTTCTAAATTGTTTGCTTAATGTGAACTGGACAAAAGGCGAATGCCATAACAAAGGCGCAATTTGGACGAGGAAGCCTAAACACATGTAGTATGCAAAATTGCTTATAATTTTACTACTAACTGCTCCATTTCCTATGGCAGTCATATTTCTACCAATGATTCCACCAACACAACCCTCCCCTTGTCTCTTCAGTACCTTACACGTCTGTCTCTCTGTCACGCAGGGCTTCTTTCGGCGAAGCATTCAGAAAAACATGGTGTACACTTGTCACCGGGAGAAGAACTGCATCATCAACAAAGTCACCCGCAACCGCTGCCAGTACTGTCGGTTGCAGAAGTGCCTGGAAGTCGGGATGTCGAAGGAGTGTGAGTAAAAACGTGATCATTTTTACCCAGAGTGCCCTGCCCTCACAGGGCATTTAGGGACAAGCACAGATCTCATCACAGCTCTTTAATCCCAGGGTTTTTGACATGATTGTGGCCACCGCAGGAAGTCTTAAGTCGCAGCGTTTGTTGACATTTGCTCCTTTGCTAACATTGCGTAAGAATTCATCCCCATCCTCCAGCACAATCTGACAACACATGTCATAATCTACTCGATAGGTGGAGTCTTATCAAGATTATCAAAAGAAATTAAAGCACAAAGCTTTTCCGATTTTTCCATTTGAAAAGAATATCCACCGTATGTGCGAGCGGCAGAGATGCAGTCGTGATGCAGACTGGCATTAGCAGTCAGGGTGTCTCCAGGCTTGGCAGGCCTCTGTGATGAATATGTTCTCACCTGCCGAGAGTGAAAGAGCAGGCGTCTGCTCCAATCATTGCACCCCCGGGGGCTGTGTGAACACACACATACACGCATGCAGTCAGACTTGATAAAGTAATTGGGAGAGGTGTGACCACAGAGGCCAGCAAGGTTTTTACCTCAACCAGATCACATGACACACACACACACACACACACACACACACATACTTACTTCCCAGCAGAAAAGAGAGGGAGAGTGCTTGTGTGTAGGCGGGGGATGCTTTTATATTCTGATAAACACTTTTTAATGGTCTGAAACTGGGCATGTGTTGATTTGAAAATCATAATAAAAATCACGTGATCAGAAAGTGCAGCACGCCTCCTTCCTGTTTAAACACTCTTGCGTACAGCTTTCCTTGCTCAGTCTCTCTGCGCCTCCTGTCTTCCCGGAGCTATTTACCTCGTCTCTCTGCTGCAGAAAGTGCAGGGAGCGCTCCCCACGCCACAGCACTGTGGCTTACAGTAAAAGAAGTTATCCTCTGAGCTCCTTACCTTTGAATGGGGCCATTAATCATGGTTAGAAAGATCACAGCAGCCAGTTCTTTTACACACACAGGCACCGAGGCACCCAACACACAACAGACTGGAGTTGGAGAGCCATCTAGTGGTGACTGTATAGTACTGGATAAGAGAGAGAACAGGCGGGGGAGGGCTTTTCTAAAGTAGACTCAAGGGAAGGATGTATGATTGTTATAAGTTTATAGTTTTCCAGGCTCCTTTTGTTGAGCTGCTTTTGGTTTTTACTTGAATACTTTTTTTCCGGAGTGTGTTCATGTTCTGCAGGTTTCATATCACACAGTGCTGACTTTGGCCAGTGGAACTGGTCTGGTGTGGCGAGGCGGGAGGGACTGGCCATCTGGGGCCAGCAGGGACTCTCTCTTCGCCTCTGACACAGACAGGAGAACGGGCACGCTCATCAAAGTGCACTGTTCACCATAATTCCATGCGCACGTATGCCTAAATTATGCGCATACAAGGTGACAAACACAAGCTGGTAGGAATAAAAAGCCCGTAACAGAAATACACTCCGACAGCTTCGCTTGGAACGGCATACACTTCCCTGTCAAACACACACGCAGAAGGTGGACCCCCCGCTAGTGCCGGGGGACGTCTGGGTGACCTTGTGTCTGCTGGCAGACAGCTCCAGATGACAGTGCCATGCCTGCTGCCAGGTGGCAGTGGCACACAAGACAGAGCCGGGAGGAGCGGGGAGGGCGTTGGCAGCAAGCGGAGGGTTACAAGGGAAACGCCTGTAAAGGCTAGTGCCAGCTTCAACCTGACGGTGTGTGGTTGAAGCGGACAGCTACGAGCAACAGCTGTTCCAAGGGATTGCAAAAGCTGCAACATTGTTCTCTAAATTTTGTGAGAAATATGTACATTCTCAAGAAGAAAGGGGGGGGGGAGGGACAAGAAGCAGAAGTTTCAAGTAAAAGGCTGTATTTATAGCAAATCAGTTCCACTTTTTAACTGTTGTTATATAATCACAGTTCACTACCATGTTGCGTTCATGTTGGAGTCCTCTCAACAGGATCCCACCTTTTTCTCCCAAAGTAATCACCCTTTCCTCGAGGAAGGTGTTATTCAGCGATAGAAAAGTAATAAAAGCAAAATAAGATGAAGCGCAGAATGATGGAGAATGGTGCAAAGAGGGGATAACATCAACCAGAGAGGCAGGATAGCGACGAAAGATGAAGGCAGAGAGAGGGAGAGAAGTGTACTGAACCCAGTGTGAGCAAGAATGAAAATCTAGAGTTGAGAGAGCCGAGGGGGGAGTCGGGAGAGGAGTGAGGCTGGAGGACAGAGAAAGAGAGAGAAAGAGGGGGGAAAGTTTCATCACTGTCGACGGTGGCTCTGCGCTGCGAGCAGCAGGAGCAGGGGTAACATTGACATTTTTATCTTTCCATTGAATTTAATCTGTGTGATGGACGAGCTGCCAGAGCTTTAATTTTCCTCACACGAATTATCCCTGTCTGCCCACCTCCCTCTGTCATGTACACAGACACAAACACGCGGGCACAAAAAACCCCCGCATACACACCCGTGGCACCGAAATTGTCTATTAAGTTGCACGTGCGCAGCCGAAATCCACTACGAGAGGGAATGATTGAGTGATGGCTGGGCGTGCACGCCGACGCAGTATTCTGTGCACGCTGCACACCGGCTCATGTAAATCCTTTTTATGCAACGAGCGCGCAACTGTGGACAATCCATGATGCAAGTCCCTCCATTAGCATTCATATTCTCATAATACATTTTTTAGATTCATGGCTGGAAGTTGACACACAAACATCAAATGTACATTTGTATCTACACACATCCACACGCGGATGATGATGATGATGATGATGATGATGATGATAATAAATACTTTTAAAAAAGAAAAGCAAGGCAAGGCAGTATTTCTTTCATTTGCACTCCCCTGCCAGAGGCCTCCTTCCCCCCAAGTTATTGCATGTGGCAATTCGCCATGACAGATCGCCAGTCGTGCCTAATAGTTCTTTAATGACTTCATTAAATTGTGTTGTGCGGCTTATGATTGTGCTGCCGATTTGTCAGCGAGGGTAATGTCTGGGCACTAGGGATGCCCCACTTTTATTTGTGAATTAATTGGACATTGAGTGCGTTGCAGCCCTCCACCCCTCCCCTCATTGCACACAGGACACAGAATCCCAATCAGCTCCACAAACAGGGCTGGCCCAAATATCTTCAGCAGCTTACTACAGTGTTATGCAACCGGCCTCCTAAGATGAGGGCTTGTTAAACAGGGTGTTCCTTTCCTAACGAAGTCATAATTAGCTCATTAAAGTAAATGGGAATGAAAAAAACATTTTGTTTTCCGTGTTTATACCCACATAGTTTATGAAGCGGTCTCATCACAGCATACTCTTCTTCATCGGCCTTTCTTTGCTGCAGCGTTTTCTGTGCAAGTACCAGTGCATGCTGGAAAATAATGCATTACCACGATCGCAGCGGGGTCTTCTTCACTTCTTGTTGTGGTGAGCGGTGCTTAGCAATAACATAATGCCGGATCAGACTTCCAGCCCCCGCCCTCCTCCTCGCTTTCTTGTTCTCCCAGGCAGGGAGGCCTGTCTGTGGGCTGATGAATGAGCAGCAGCACAGAGTAGTGCCCCCCCCCCTCTCCTTGGCCCTGGTCCAGGCCCCCTCTGTCAAAAGACACTGATCTCCCATCAGCCCGAGCGCTTTTGCCCTTAATGGTCAAGGTTGGTATTAAGACAAGGAAAATCTGATCTCAGGTTAGTGGCTGGGGGAAGCGGGGAGGGGGGTGCAGGTACCTTGAGGGGAGGTAGAGATTGGAGAAGTGATAGAGTTGGAAAGGTGGATGATTTAAAGCATTTTGAAAATGAGAGAGGGCGTGCATTGGCTGAGAATGAGACGCACTGAGAGGATGACTAGGAAAGCGAGAACGTGTTGTATAACCAGGAGAGGGAGAGAGATGTGAGAGGGAGAGAGAGAAAAAGCTGGAAGGTTTTTCTCTCTCTCTCTCCCCGGTATGGTCTCCGCAGCCGAGCCCTTTTAAAACCATTAGAGGCAGGATATTTGTCATATTATGTTATTAGATTAGCTGGGACCTCTAATGAAAGCTGTGGCAATTTGTCAGCCTTATGGATAGCTCCATCCCCCACCACTATTTATCAACTAGCACCCCATCGCACCCAACACACCCCCACCCCAGCCTCAGCGCACACACGTACACACAACATAGTCGAAGCAAAACCGCATCCAAACGTAGATGGGAGAAATGGATCGAGCTCATAATGGGATTCCAATGCTAAACACCCCTCCTAGTGTTTTTTGTCATTTGGGGTGAGCACACCACTCGCAGCCAGAGCGCCCGAAGGGAAACGACAGAGGATTATTTCAAGGTTTTTTTTGTTTTGTTTTTTCCCCCTTCTCTCCCTCTCCATTACCACAGCCCATCCTGGATGGAGCTGTCTCACAACATTTATCTTACAGTATCGGATAAGAAAAGATGTGTTTGCTGCCGCTGTTTGCTGCACACTGAGGATCGGTTCCTGCTTATAACTCGCCTCAGTTTTACCTCGATCTGCAGTCAGGGGTTACTGATAAAGGAATGCGTGCAGACTGTAATTAGCTCCATGAACTGTACGCTACACTTGAAATAGCTCTGAAATGCTGCTGCATGAACCGCTGTGTTTAAAGAGGAAAAAGAATACAAGATTAAATGTAAAGTTTGCCAAGACTTAGTTTTGTCGAAAGGGTTCGAGATGCATACTAATCTCTCTGTTCCTTCCGTCCCTTTAGCGGTGAGGAACGACCGGAACAAGAAGAAAAAGGATGAAAAGAAGCAGGAGTGCACAGAGAGCTACGTGCTGAGTCCTGACACGGAGCAGATGATCGACAGGGTTCGCAAGGCACACCAGGATACTTTCCCCTCCCTCTGCCAGCTGGGCAAATACACTACGGTCAGTGGCATGAGACTGACAGTCTGTGTGTCCTTATGTTCATTCACCTTTTTCAAGTGTGAGAGTTTTTTGTTTTTTTCTTTGCCTTTGAAATAAAATTGATCTGCAAATATTTTCTTCCTTTATTCGTGCAGACTAACAGCTCAGAACGACGTGTGTCCTTGGACGTAGACCTGTGGGACAAGTTCAGTGAGCTGTCCACTAAGTGCATCATCAAGACAGTGGAGTTTGCCAAGCAGCTGCCCGGCTTCACGACGCTCACCATTGCCGACCAGATCACTCTGCTCAAAGCTGCCTGTCTGGACATCCTGGTACGAATAACGCACACACAAAAAACATCTACCTTAGATGTTTTCAATGAATAAAACTGGAAGTTCGGTTTTAATTTTTTTCACAAACCGAGTCTGTCTGCTGTCCACAGATACTGCGGATCTGCACACGCTACACACCAGAGCAAGACACGATGACTTTCTCAGATGGACTTACGCTAAACCGAAACCAGATGCACAACGCTGGCTTCGGTCCCCTCACTGATCTGGTTTTTGCCTTCGCCAACCAGCTCCTTCCTCTGGAGATGGATGATGCAGAGACGGGGCTGCTTAGTGCCATCTGTTTGCTGTGTGGAGGTACGGCAGGTCTTTAAAAAAAGGCCCTTAAAGCTTGCTTGGGTCATGTTTGTGTCAGAAACAGCAGCGGGGTAGCAATGCTGCACTCTTTTCCTTAGCACCATCTAGTGGCCACTGTGTTTCTAACAGTCGGAGAGTATTGGCTGACCCTTTTCTCTGTGCTTTTTTTTGTTTTGTTTTGTTTTGTTTACAGATCGACAGGACTTGGAAGAGGCAGACAAGGTGGACATCCTGCAGGAACCCCTTCTGGAGGCGCTGAAGATTTATGTAAGGAAGAGAAGGCCACACAAACCGCACATGTTCCCCAAGATGCTGATGAAGATCACTGATCTTAGAAGCATCAGTGCTAAAGGTCTGTAGTTCCCGTGTGTTTCTACATATATAGTGCTACAGTGATTACTCAGGTGTACAATTGATCATTTCTACTTTTTCTTTTGTATATTCCATTTTAGAATGAAAGAATATGTTTTACCAGAACTTACACTGATAGCTTACATTTTTCCATCTTGCAGGAGCTGAGCGTGTCATCACGCTGAAGATGGAGATCCCCGGCTCCATGCCACCTCTCATCCAGGAGATGCTGGAGAACTCAGAAGGTCTGGAAAGCGGAGCCGCAGGCGGACGACCCAGCGGCGCCCCCCCAGGCAGCTGCAGCCCCAGCCTGTCCCCCAGCTCTGCCCAAAGCAGTCCAGCTACACAATCGCCGTAGTCACGGCCCACGTTTTCATTTTCATTTTTTCTTTGTGTTGCGCTCTGTCTCCTCCCATTAATGTTCTGAAGAGGAGGGGTGAAGGAGGTGGGTCTTCTTGACCCCTAACTGCTGAACACAGGAGACCAGCAGAGCCAACCACCTCCTCTCCGACAACAAAAATCCCAATTTCCTGATCCGCTTTCCCCTCTCTCTGGATTTCTATCCAGACATGAGGGGAGATGAGGCTGGACAGGCCGGGGTAACCGGATGCCTCCAACATACCACACCGTAAATACTGCTGATGACTCTTCCTCCTTCTCCCTCCCTTCTCCACCTTTTTTTTTTCTTTTCTTTTTTCTTTTTGAAAAGACTAACGGAGATGAGGTGTGGATGAACCCGAGAGCGGTTGGAGCACAATGGAACAAATATAAGGACAATGAACACAGACTGACTTGACAAACACCAGACACTTTTGTTTTTTTTTTGTTTTCTTTTCTTTTCGTTGTTGTTGTTGTTGTTGTGCTCTGAGGCAGACTACAACTGAACTTTTGGGACTTGTCAAAAGAACCCACTCCTCAAAGACTCTGGGTCTTTTCCTCTTTTCCAGTTTCATGAAAAAATAACAGATTTCGTACAAAAAAAAGATATATAAATATATAGAGAAAAATTAAGGACCTATTGCGATCGACATGTCCAGAACAGGATGGCAGGTTGAAATGAGGACATGTTTTCTGAGCTGAGATTAGAAATTGTTGTACTCCTTCACTGTTTGAATCTTTTTCATACCCATCGAGTATTGAGAAAAATGCTTTGGTTTCACATTTGTATATTCTAATTGACGGGGGGAAGAAAAATAAGATTATTTTTTTCCCCTTTCCAGTCCACACGAGCAAACACACAAATGTGCACAGAAAACAAGTCGCAATGATTATCACCTACTATTCCAGGTCGGATTTGTTTTCTTTTTTTTTTTTTTTTTTTTTTTTTTTTTCTTCCAAGAGATTGGGGGGGGAAATGATTGTATGAACTCAGTTGTATGATATGGTCACAGGTCCTTTCAAGAAATCAAATTAATGAAGATTCATTATTAAGGTGTATTTTAAGTAGCCTTTTGAGTTTGTGTATATAAGCTGTATTCATTTCTTTAAAACTATGAAGAGTTTTAGGGTTCACCTGATCGATTTTTTTTTTTTTTTTAAAGAATACCGTTTTATGTGTTTTTAGGTTTGTGATTCAAGAAAAGACGTTTTGAGCACATTTTACTGAAGGAAGTTCTTTCATGTTTCGTGTCCTACTTTAAAAAACAAAACAAAAACATGGCAGACCCATCACAAATCACTGGCTCTAAAGGTTTTGGCTTCACGAACAGTTTTGCCCCCCCGACCCCACTTTTCTTTTTTTTTTTTTTCTTTTTTTTTTTTTATGTACAGTAGGTAAGAAAGTAGCACTCCTGTCGGGGCATAGCTTTTTTTGTGTGTTTGGCCATGTAGCAGAAAGAGAAGGCGGCGTTTGAGGAAATGGTTTAGACGCCTTCTGTGGCCTGACGGGCTCAAACAAGCGGCGGCGGCTCTGCTTCAAAGAGAGTTGAAATGTGAACAATGGTGTACATACACTCTGTATTAAACACAAGTAAATCTCAGTGCTCTCTCTCAGTGCATCAATTTGTAGTCAATAGGAGAAGACTAGACTCTAGTTGATCCCCCTCCTCTACCTCTGCCCTGTCAGCGATCAGGCAAGGCGAGGTCCCAAATGTGATGTTTGTCAGCTAACTCCCCGCCCCTCACCTCCACCTTGGCAACCTGTGGTAGAAACAATATGTGACTTAACTGAATCCAGAGCAACCTCGTGCCCTGTGACACCAAAAACGCCTTCACCATTGCTACACGTCACCCAGACCATCATTACTGTACGCGCACCAATGTCTCAGGAAGGAATCATTTTTGTGTGCTTGGCCTGTCATTTGTATATGTTCTGTGCTGCAACCCCCTCCCTCTCCGGTAACAGATGCACACACACACACACACACACACCTCTGCTACTGAGCCCTTCAGATTTTTCTTCACTCGCTTTTGTTTGGCCTGGCAAAACCAGGACTTGTGCCGAGAGACACTGACCCCTGACCGCTCATTTTTCCAACATCCGTAGGATGCCAGTGTGGACTCTCTCCGAGTCGTTCACATGTCCTCTTTTCTTTTTTTTCTTTTTTTTCTTTTTTTTTTTTCTCTTTTTTTTTTTTTCTTGTACGGTCAAAGCTGCTTTCGTCATTTTAGGACTTAACCTGTCCAGAACGGTGCACAAATTTTCCCTCCACAGCGAATCTGGAATAGCAACAGACACACCGTCAGTTTGAAAAGTATGGAATATGTTGCAATTTTGTCAAGATTATCAAGCGACTTTGGAAAAAAACAAAAAAAACCAAAACAAAACGAGAAAAAAGATTTAGAAAAAATAATAAAACCAACATTTAATAATTAAACGTTTGTGTTGTTCATATGGTGGTCTTTTCAATTCTTTTCTTTACAGCATCACACTCATTAGCTTTTCATTCATTTACACTGGTGAACCATCCACACGCAGTCACTGACTTTAATTATGCTTTCTGGAAGGTTTGGGGCCACTATTAACAGCCAGGAGCTGTGTTGCATGAATATATAACAGAGAAGCTTTATGACCACAATGAAAACCTCCATTACAGTAATGTCAGAGTAAAACATTATCCAGCACTGCAAATTTGTAAGCTGTAAAAATACTTTCTCTTGAAATGGTTTGGGTATTTTTTCTTTTTCAAATCGAAGCAACTCAGTGCATTTAGGTATGCAAATATAGTCAAGATGTCCTAATAAGGTCAACACAGAGAAGAGTGATTTAAGTGTCTTTTAATGTGGCCTGGTCATTGGTGCCAGGTGGGCTGGTCTGAGTATTTCAGCAACTGCTGATCTGCTGGGATTTACTCACATAACCATCTCTAGGGTTTACAGAGGATGATCAAAAAAAGGAAGCTATCCAGTGAGCAGCAGTTCTCTGTGAAAATATGACAATGTTGATGACAGAGGAGAATGGCAAAGCTGCTTTGAAAGGATAGGAAGCCAACAGTAACTCAAATAAACACTTGTTATAACCAAAGTATGGAGAAGAGCATCTCTGAAAGCACAGCATAGCAAATCCTGAAGCCAATGGGCTCGAACAGCAGAAGACCACACCTTGTTCTATCAGCTAAGAACAGGAAATTGAAAATACAATTTTCCATGGGCTCACCAAAACTGAATGGAAAAAGATTGGAATAATGTTTCCTGGTCTGATGAGTCTCCTTCAGCATTTAACATAAACAGCATGAAAGCATGGATCCATCTTTTCAGGCTGGTGTTGATAATGGTGTAATAGTATGAGGATATTTTCTTTTTTGGCCCCTTTAATCCCGAAATAGTATTGTTTAAATGCCACAACCTACCTGGGTGTTGTTGCTGACCACGTCTATCCCTCCAGTGGCTGCTTCCAGCAGGATAACGCACCATGTCACAGATCACAAATCTTCTGAAACTGCTTTTCAGAATATGAGTTCACTGTACTCAAATGGTCTCCACAGTCACCAGGTGGTAGAACAAGAGATTGTCATCATAGATGTGCAACCGACACATCGCCATCAACTATGTGATGCTGTCATGTCAGTATGGTCAGAAAATATCAGAGGAATTTTTCCAGCACCTTGAAAGAAAAGGGGTTGAACGCAGTAGTAGCAAGCTATTCTTAAAAACAAACAAACAAAAAAACTGGCTGATGAATCTATATGCAGATAGTGGAAAATATATGTGTGCAGCATATCAGAATATACTAACTGGAAAAGAAACCAGTGTCAAGATAAAGATACCAGTACAGAAAACATTGTAAACAATACAGTAAATGTTCTTCAATAAATATCCCAAGTTAGCCAGTAAGCTATCCAGTAAATGTGTGAGAAATGTCTATTGTGAACCTACAGAACTTGCGGCCGCTGCGTCGGGTCTCGCTGTCAGCCACGAACACGCTGACCTCCACCAGGTTTGGATTGGTGAACACTAGATCGCTGAGTAATAAAACTTTTATTTTAAGGGATTTATTTATGACCCAAGGACTGGATTTCCTCTGTATAACTGAGACATGGTTGAGGGCCGGTGAGTCCAGCGCTTTCACAGATCTCTCACCTGATGACTGCTGCTTTTTAAACTCACCTCGAATATCAGGCAGAGGAGGAGGACTAGCGGTTGTTTTTAAGAAGCAGTATAAATGTAAACCACTGCCATTTTTAACCTCACCTAGTAGCTTTGAACTGAGCATGTCGTATTTTTAACCCTTCCTCTGCTGGACAGTTCTCTATTGTTTTTAATCAGAACGGCAGCCTTCCTGATTTCATATGCAATGATACAGAAGAGCTGAGTACGTGGTTTTACTCTGTCTGCCAAACTGCTTTAGATTCAGTGGCCCCCTTCAAGCTTAGGCAAGTAAAAGGCAAACCTGAATCCTGGCTGAATGAAGACACCCGGGCTGCCAGAAGAAAGTGTAGGAGAGCTGAACGTAAATGGAAGAAGGATCAACTTCAGGTGTCATACCAAATGTTACAAGATTACTGGAATTCTTACCAGAAAACTATAAAAGATGCTAAGAGGAAACATTTTGCTGATATTATTCAGGAAAATTGTCGTAAGCCTCATGTCTTATTTAAGACTATTGACATGGTCCTTCATGCTCCACAGACTGCTGGTGTCGAGTCTTCTCAGGAAATTTGTGAAAACTTCCTACACTTTTTTATTGATAAAGTGCTATCTGTCAAAGCGCAGACTTCCCAGTCCATTCTCGACCCTTCTACCCCTGTCCCTAGTTCTGCTGTCTTTGACAGGTTCGAGCCAGTTTCCTTGCTCTGCCTGCAGGAGTTGGTTGCTCACATGAAGCCCTCACGTTCCCCTTATGATGCTCTCCCTCCTCAATTTTTCAAAGAGGTTTTTCTCACTATAGCATCAGCTGTATACAATCCATTGTAAATAGTAGTCTGTCCTCTGGTGTTGTACCTGTCAATCTCAAACATGCAGTGATTCAGCCTCTACTCAAGAAACCTGCTCTTGATCCTGATATTATTGCGAATTACAGACCTATTTCCAAACTGCCTTTTATCTCAAAGATTCTTGAAAAGGTAGTTTACAACCAATTAATGTCCTTCCTAGAAGAACACAGTATTTTAGAAGTTTTCCAATCTGGTTTTAAAGCTTTACATAGTACCGAATCTGCCCTTTTAAGAGTTTTTAATGATGTGTTTTTGGCAAATGACTCAGGTGACTGTGTTATTATTGTGCTGTTAGATTTAACTGCTGCTTTTGAGACAGTGGATCATAATATTTTAATTTCCCGTTTAGAGCAGTTGGTGGGTATGCGGAGTACCGCACTGCAGTGGCTCAGATCCTATTTGGCAGAGCGAACTTTCTCTGTGAAACTAGGGAAGTTTGTATCCTCTGCTGCTTCTCTTCAATGTGGGGTCCCACAGGGTTCAGTTTTAGGCCCGCTTCTTTTCTCTCTATATCTCCTACCCCTTGGGTCTATTTTCAGGAAACATGGGATTTCTTTTCACTGCTACTCCGATGACTCCCAGATTTATTTCCCACTTAAAAAGATAAATGGCTTCTCAGTAGACCCGCTGCTCAGATGCCTTGATGAAATAAGGGCCTGGATGGCTTTGAACTTTTTACATTTTAATGAACAGAAAACAGAAGTGATGTTTTTTGGTGGCGCTTCTGAGGCCACTATTATAGATCTTGGTTCACTGGCACAGTATGTTAAACCAGTCATCACTAATCTGGGAGTTAAAATAGAGGCAAATCTTAAACTTGAAAGCCAGGTCAGAGCTGTTGTAAGATCTAGCTTTTTTCATTTGAGGGAATTAGCCAAAATAAAGCCTTTCTTATCGAAACAGCATTTTGAGACAGTAATCCATGCCTTTGTTACTTCTAGGCTGGATTATTGTAACGC